ATAAGGCTTCTGACCCAGGCCTCAGCTAGTGAACTTTTCTACTCGGCAGGGCTGGGCGCTCAGATGTCCAGGCTGATTCCCCTGAGCAAGGGAGAGGGAAGATTGCCCGCAGCCAGCTCAGCTTTACATGAGCCCTTTGGCCAGCTGGTGTAGACATTTATGCCAGGGCCTGGGCCTGCTCTGGGTCTAACTGGCCAAGAATTAAAACAAAGCCAATAATCACTCCCCAAGGTGGTGTTTTAGGTGGGGCCACATGCACATCTGGAGAGCGGGTGGAGGGAGCAAGAGGCAAGAAAGGAGTTCCTATTTAGGGAATTTTTGTTTGACCTGAAGTGCAAAGAATTTAATTATAATTTTTGGCTCATGACACACTCAACATGGGTACATGCAGGGCCCACTTTTATTTTTTATTTAATCAGCTATTAGATCTTTACTAATGAACAAATACCTTCAAACTCACCACCACCACCACCCCCCACCCCCGCCATGAAAAGAAGTAAAGTACTTACACCAACCAACTGGTCATGTCCCCCCTCCAATCTATTCCCTGTCTCACCCTTACTTCCTCCTAAATCCTGTGCTCATCATTACCTTGCTTTTTTTATGTGGTTCTATTGCAGCTATATGTATTCCTAAACATGTTATCCTTTCATTTCAGGTATTTGTAACTTTATAAAAGTTGCTGTGCTGCATCTTTCAGTACATTTCTTTTACTTAATATCATATTACCAAGATTCGTCTGTATTTTTGCATGCCACTGAGCTTAATTCTACATCATGTGAATACATCACAGTTTATTCATTTGCCAACTGAGGGGCATCTGGATTCTTTCCAGGCTCCTGGTATTTTGGGCATGAGTTTCTCTTGGGCATACATACCTAGGAGTGGAATCGCTGGGCCATAGAAATGTACATGTTCAATTTTCAGAGGTAATGAGACAATATCAAAGTGTTTTCCATTTGATTGCACTTCCTAGAGTTTCTGAGATGATTGTTTCCTCCTCCTGTCCTCCTCAATTTTGTTTCTTTAAATTACACATGGCAGATCTATCAGAATGCTTAAACCAAGTTCTTGACCTAACACCTGAGTAGCATCTCGGATAAATCCCCCATGTGGAAAAGAAGGCCTCGTGTCAGGCACACAGACAGCAGAGAGACATCTGTGCGGACACAAGGACCCACCCTGATCCTGACATGAGGCAGGCTAGTCAAAGGGAAGGGAACTGTCTAGAAGCTGCTTCACATTTGGCAAAGGCAAGGTAAAAAAAAAATAAAATAAAGGTTTAGGGTGGAGCTAATGCCTGTTTCCCATCCAAGTTTGCTTGCTCTCCTCCCCTAAACCTTCCATAACCAACACACACTCTTACTTTTAAACAAAGAACAAAGGTCTAAAAATGAGAAAAGAAATCACTTGTACGTAACCAATTTCAGGTTCAAATGAGAGCAGGGGGTCCAGCTTGGAAATCACTGCACAGTCCAATTCGTTGCAATAAATATTTACAGAATGCTTTGCAGTGTGACCAATAAGATCTCTATTCTGCCCTCAAGGGTTTTCGAGCTTGTTCATTTAACAAGACAGGACCATGCATGAAGTGCCGAAGGGGCCGGTTAGTGCTAAAAAGATGCAGATGCTGGCCCGGTTTCAAGATGCTCACGGTAGAAGGACTAGCAAAAGTTAGAACACACGAGCACCAGATATAGTTGTTAGGAGGTGAGCGTGATGATTCTAACCAGTAGGGAGGTTCCGAGAGAGTGACGTTGGAGCTGGGTTTTGCAGGATGAACCAAGTAAGCAACAAGAGGCAGGACAAATAAAGAATAGACCTAAAACTATTTTTTTAAATGTCTTACTCGGTCTTACTCAGACTTCTGGACCTTCCCATTTTCTCATATTTCTCAAACTTCTTAAATCTATTTCCTGCCTCCACCACCAAAAAAGTGGTACCCACAGGTTACTATGAAACACGCATTTACTTGTTCATTCCACAAACACCTACAAAGTCAGTCCCTTGTGCTGAGCTCTGGGGATACACCAACAGACAAGATGGGCACAATTCCTGCCCTCACTCAGCTCCCAACTTTCAAGGACAGACAGAGGATTAGACAAAGACAGGCAGCTAGCTTGGCCTGACCATCCATTGGCCTTGGGGAGGCTCTCCCTCCACCCCCATCCCATCCTCCCTGTAAAACATTTTCAGTAAATTGTACAGGATTAAAGAAATGGCTGCCTCCTTGGTAATTATAAGGATCCTAACCATGTCCCAGGTATCCATGCTGCTCAGAGCTGAGAGACCAAACACTCAGGTGCTTCCTACATAATAGCCTCCAATCTGATACCTGATCGCTGCTGGTTTCCAGCGTCAAACAACTGTCAGGAATTTTATGAAGGCAGGAAGCGAATAGGGGGGCAAGGATTGGGGTCTGGGCCTCAGGGGAGCTCAATTAGTGAGCCAGATAAAGTTAAACCAAAAGGGCATGCTCTCGGTTTCCTAGAAAGCCAGCTGCAAAAGATGCCAATCCCTAAGCTTCTGTCACTCAAAAGATTAACAGAAGAGTCCGAGGGGTGCCCAAGGGAACACTGCAACACGCCAGATGTTTCTGCTCCTCCCATGACACTGCCACTCGCCCTCAGAGCCACACTTCAGAGGCCACCAAGGAGCCACATGAGAAGTGTAGTCTTTGCAATAGGTGCAAACTCAAAGGCAGCACCCTTTAGCGACACAAACATCCAAAAGTATTATTACTAACCCTCCCTTACAGACTCGCCTGATGCATCTGGGCTCAGTATTTTCTCGTTGAGCTCTCTCTTCCTTTAACAGTGACGGCAGCCCCAGTTTGACAAGCACTCCCTGCAGCTGCTTGGTGGTGTGGCAAGCACACAACCTGTAAATCCATGTAAACTGTGCTTCGGCTCCCAGAGCTGCAAATGCATGGTGGGTGTTTCAAGCAAGCCGTTTGGCCTCCCTGGGTTTCACGTGCAAACTGTTATAAGCATAAGCGATCCTGGAAATCCGTAGCCCAAGCATTCATAAGTGGTAGCCTATTGTTGCCTATAAATGCACTCAGGTAGCCACATGCTCAAGACAGCAGCTTCCCCTGGGTACTTTCTAAACACACACGTGTGGGGGGGACGTGGGGGGAGATGCAGGTGGGACACACACAAACGTATTCACAGTTCCTATTTATGTCGTCTCACTTCTATCGAATTAAAAAGTAAAGAAGTTGGAGGGAACCCTAACCAATACCCTAGCTTTCCCCTAAAAGTTGCTTCCTCCGATTTCAGGAGTCAGGGAAGGAGAGCCATATGGCTTAAGACGCGAGACATGCCCAGCAGCAAATAAGCCCCCCACCATTTGTCTCCAGGCCCCTCATGTGGGCGGGCATCCAGATTTCAGTCGGGGTGCTCTGGTCTGCATCTCTTTCTCGACTGTTCCTAATTATTGGAGGGAACGCCGTGGCTCTCCTGACCTCAGCGTTTAAGAGCTGCGGGTCCTAATATCAAACCAAGCAGCTTCATTTAAAAGGCATCCTCAACTGCATCCATAAAAGTCACTCCCGGAGCCCTTACTTGCCCCAGCTTTGGAAATGCCTGCTGTCGAGGATTTATGACACGCCCTGGATCTAATCTGCGGCACTTTAACTGCTGCTGTTGCACATCTGGTCATAAAAGCAAGGGCCGGCCCAACACGGGGACAAACACTTTTCTTTCCTAAGTGGCTGCAAATCTGATCTCACGGTGATAGCCCGGCTCGGGTGCAATCAGCCAGCATCTGGGCAGTCATTAAAGCTCGTCAAACTTTGCAAGGCTTTTGCTCTCCACACGACAGCTATAAAGACGATTCTCATATAGCAAGAGCTATGAATAGAGAACCTGCGACCTGAACAGGTGGTAACGAGGCTAGGCCCACGGAGATCCAGGAAAGCACACATGGATTAAGGAGCCAGCCTTGTTTTCACAAAGGTCCTAGCTACTTCACGGACTCCCAAGATGTCAATGGAGGCAAGCAGCTACCCCGAGAGGCCACCGGCCTGGCATACGCTAATTCTTGGCCAGAGGTTGTCTAAATACAATTTGACCGATTGTTTGGTCCAAATGAACAACGAGGTGGTTTAATAGTACTTTTTAAGGCAGTGGAATTCTTCATTAGACCAATTTGGGGGGGGGGTGGAGGTGGGGGGCAATAATCTAGACCAAAAATGAACACAATGCTGTCGGTTCCAGGAGAGTTTACAATGCCCTGTACAGCCTGTCCTGTGCACAGAATTGGCACGTTTCACATCGTTCAGAATCTCCAATCAGACCAAGGTTCAACAAGGAGTCCAGGCTCCCAGCCCCAAGCCAGGGGAAGAGACCCTTGCACGCTGCGCACCTCCTTTCCACCACCTCGCCACAGCCCGCCCTCCGCCCCCCCACCCCCCACCTCTAGCCTCCTCCAGGGCTGTGCCCAGCAGGAGGGAGCATTAAAATTATCTGCTGTGGGTTTTACGAGCAGCGATCGCTTTTTAAAACAACACAAGGTCCTTGTGTGGCTCTCGGGTAACCTAAAACTCTGGAGGCAGAGCTGCCCCCCGCCGCCTGCCAAGAAGGCCAGCGCTCCGGGAGCGGGAGCGGGCGCAGCGTGAGACCACAGGGCAGCCCTACTGGCGCGAGGAGCGAGCCTCTGGGACCCAGGAGGCACCCCGAAGGGTCTTGGAGCAAAATGCCCTGGGAGAAGAGATCTGTGAAGAAAACCCATGAGTGACAGTTGGGGTTCCGGGGGTAGGCAGAGTCGCTGCTGCAAGAAAGGATTGGGGGTGGGGGACAGACAATGGGAGAAATTTTTATTTCAGCAACTTCGCCAAGAAGCCCTCGGGAGACTGGGGGGGGGGGGCGGGCGGGGGGAGACAAGGTCTGACACCTCCCTTCCTCTTTCCCCCTCCCCCCGCCCCCGCCCCCCGAGGATGAGAGCGAGCGACCTTCGTCTCCCTCGGCAGGTAGGCGCGCGACTGGGGGCGCACTTACCCGGGGGCCGGTGGTGCGGTGGCCGCGAGCCGGGGACAACTGCACCAACACGAGCAGCAAGTGGGGCGTGAGCAGGCGGGCGCAGCGCGCGGGCAGCATGGTGCCAGCGGGCTGCGGGCTGCGGGCCGGGGTCGCGGGCTCCGCCGGGGGCACTGCCGCGCCTGCCCTTGCTGCCTGCCTTCCCTCGGGGGCCTTGGCGGTGTCCGGAGGCCGCCCGGCAGCGGATGCAGCGTGAACTGGCGTAGGCTGCGGGGCAGAGCCCGCGGTCATGAACCCGCGAAGGAAGGAGCTGACGCTCGAGTTTTTGCTCTGCCCGCGGCAGTCTCTCGGATGGGCCGGTACCGGCGGCAGGAATTAGGCTGCCCAGCCTGGGAATTGGAATTCC